CTTGTGTCTCTTTCTAACAATTTTATCCGAATAATTCAGTATTATTATTTAATAGAAAGTTATTTGGGAAAACCATGTAACCAGTTCAAAAACCTTGGTCAATGTTGTACATTCAATTTTCATTCCATCTTTTACCATTACTAATTTATAAACCTCGATTGTTGCAATCGAAAGTCTGGTTTCACATTGAAGCTTAACGATCGCTACGTATGAATTAAAAATATAATTAAAAATAAAATATAAATAAAAATATTATCGAATACAAAATTGTAAGGTGATTAGAAGAATGCGAGGATATTGTTGCGTTATTTTCAACTTGCTATAATTATTAAAAGAAAACTTTCATTTAACCTGTGTTACTTACAATTAACTTGAACAATTTTTATTTTGCACAAAGGTTCGCGGTCTAGTCGTACGAAATGCAAATACCGTACATCGGAAAAACTATTTTGGATATCGAGTTAAAATGGCTTAGAGTGCAAAGGGTTAATGCGTAATGCGTACAGCCATGCCCCGAGCGTGTACCGATAGGATTCAAAGGACCCCGATGAAATTCTTCCCGAGACAACTGTCGATCGATCGATATCGCCGTGTAACGCTCAGTTCGAAACATAAATCCCCGGCGGACCATCAATTATCCTGGAGGAATTATTAATAATCGTCGCTGTTCTGGCAGCGGGGACTTGCTTGCTCGATGCATCGTATCGAACCTTCCAATCGCAGGCTCTCTCGCGCCGGGGTAACTCATCCGCCGAGGAGGGGAGGCCCGGGAGGGCCTACGAATGACAAGTTTGCCCGCAGATACGAAATGGAAATAAGAAGAAGATGTCGGATACTTATTAAGGTGCAGTGCACCCTACAGGTGTTCGAGTGGAATGCTTTGAGAACGAGATCGCGAACGAGAGATCCGAACTGTTTGGGGAGAACTGCAGCCTTGCTCCCGAGCATCCTCACTCCGTGGCTTGCTATCGAAAAACACCATAAAACTTCGCGGCGAGGAATTCCACGAAACAAAAGCAAAACGCGCGTGTCTGCTCCGTAAACCGTTTGCAATTTTATTGACGCGTTGTTGGTGAAATGCCCGACTACTGTGATTACGTGGAATAATAAATGTGAGGAGGACTATAAATTTTAAGTCGGTGTTAATAACAAAACGGTGGCATTAATAATAAATATTAATGAAAATGGTATTACTAATATTATTAACGGTACAAATGGTATTAGTGATACTATTAATAGTAAAAGTGATATTATTAATAAAACCACTTGGCATTTCTCGCGGAGATTAAAAGGTTTCTTTTTCATTCTAACAGATTCGTGCTCTCGTTAAAAACATAAAACATATGAAAATTTATATAATATTAAAATCATAAAAATAAACGTCTCTTCAACTTTAGTCAACTTCTTTTGAACTTCTTCACTGCTACGTCACCCATATCTGGATGACGGAATTATTTATTCAGATTTGAAAAAGAATTCGTACGCTAATCAATAATGTAAGAACGTTGAAAATGTAACATGATGTCATACGACTTAATTTCTCAATTTGGAGATTTCGTTGAATAAAATACTGTAATTTTATGAAATTTTTGAGGTGGTTGGTACGACGGTCAAATCGTTAATGGAGTTGCCATACCCAAACAAATCGATACGCTTGTTGCATTCTGATAACAAACGCATCGGTTCGTATCGTACACGACCTCAATGAGTTGCATATTTTCGCACTCGCAATCGGAGATACATCGTTTCACAATCGGATGTATTCAGACAGGATTGCCGCAACGTAACGATCACGAATTCCTCGTTCATGATGGATCAATCACGATCGGCGACAACAGCAATAACGGGAAGGAGGCAACAACATGGAGGCACGCAGGATGAATGAACCGCGTCCAGAACCGAGTTAATCGATCGCGATCGATCGGTTCCCGTCCGGCAATATACCACGCGTGGGATTTCAATTTGCCCGAACCGTAGGGGCTTTCTCGTACGATTCTGAACATTAATCTAATAACTACTGACTGTTCCCGATCTTTTCGAAATCGAATCGATATTTGAACACTGAAAATAATATCATCCCACTAAAACAACATCGTCTCACTCAAACTATTCATTACAATGTAATGAATTTATCTCATTAAAACTAAACCATTGCATTACAAATTAAAAAAAAAAATCTCATACTTCTTCTCCATCTAATTTTATTGTTAGCTTCCATTTTAGCACTTTGACTACCGCGTCACGTGAAATTATTTGTTCAGGTTTGAAAATGGATTACTACGAAATTTGTTATGTTATCCAAATAATTGAATTGTTATTTGGTGAGTAGTAAATTTAATAATATTCATTATTAATTGAATACAGAATGAAACGCGCCGAGTATTATAATATTCCATTTATTTAGATTTTGTGCAATTCCTGTTATGATAAATTAGATAAGATGAAAGTAATTCCATACAACTTAACTTTTCAATGTTAACTAGATTAATTAAAACAGTTGTATTAAAATAGTATTATTCATAAAATTTTTGAGGTTGTTGACGTGGCTGCGAAAGTGTTAATTAGTAATACTTATAGACTCTTATAATGCCAACATTTATAAACTGCAAGCGAATCTAATTAGTTACGATCTAAATAACATTGCATCTTTAAATATTCATAAATCGCTATAGTCCGGAAGTTTGCAAATAAACGCACAGTCCGTTAAATAGACGCACTTTGCATTTAAGTGTTCGAAGTTTTCTAACGAACATAATGCCGTACTATACACGAGACCATGATTTATTATGAGCGTAATTTATGTATGTAAGAGTACGAGCTAGCACGATAGAATCGATCAGATAGATTCCCGAAGATATACTTCTGTGATCCGTTCATGCGCGAAATCATCGTTGAGTAAAATGAGACAAATCATCAAGCGCTCGAGACGAATCATTAATAACTATCCTCGATGGGGCATGGTGAGGCGTTGGCGCGCATTTATTCTGCAGCGAGATTGCTTTCGAGACATTATATTGGACATTAATTTAGCAACACAGTTACGATATTTATGGATCACTAAGATTGCAATTATACTGGATGTAAACATTTTTCTATATCGTTAAATGCTGAATCCAAATCGACGTTTCTAAATGGATTTATTTAATCAAATTCAATGTTGTTCCAGACGAGACAACAAAATTGATGGTCGGCACTATGAATTCGGTACTCTACACATTTATGGCACGAGTGAATTGTCAGAATGCAAAGAAACTTGTGTATTAATTAAAATCAATGGGACTTTTATTTTACTTTTGACTACAAAAATCTCTCTCTCTCTCTCTCTCTCTCTCTCTGTGTGTGTGCGTGTGTGTGCGTGCGTGCGTGCGTGCGTGCGTGTGTGCGTGCGTGTGTGNACTTCTGTGATCCGTTCATGCGCGAAATCATCGTTGAGTAAAATGAGACAAATCATCAAGCGCTCGAGACGAATCATTAATAACTATCCTCGATGGGGCATGGTGAGGCGTTGGCGCGCATTTATTCTGCAGCGAGATTGCTTTCGAGACATTATATTGGACATTAATTTAGCAACACAGTTACGATATTTATGGATCACTAAGATTGCAATTATACTGGATGTAAACATTTTTCTATATCGTTAAATGCTGAATCCAAATCGACGTTTCTAAATGGATTTATTTAATCAAATTCAATGTTGTTCCAGACGAGACAACAAAATTGATGGTCGGCACTATGAATTCGGTACTCTACACATTTATGGCACGAGTGAATTGTCAGAATGCAAAGAAACTTGTGTATTAATTAAAATCAATGGGACTTTTATTTTACTTTTGACTACAAAAATCTCTCTCTCTCTCTCTCTCTCTCTCTCTGTGTGTGTGCGTGTGTGTGTATCATATCTTATATTTTATAAGCCACGTCAATAAATTTAATATAAATAATTGCAATGATAATTGTAATAATTTGGCTATGTATTTTTATACAAAATAAAATTATTCTACATTTGTTGCAGTAAACAGAATCGCTTAGGAAATTCTTCCCTTCTTCAATTGTTTTAGTAAGTTGAATATAATATATCGGTACTCTTCAAATTTTCGTTGTATTGTAACTGTTTCAAGTTGCAACTAAACATTTCTGTCATATAAATGCATAAAATCCGCAATCTATTAATAATTTAAACTTGCTGCTAAAATATTAGACTTCAGCCGGAAGTTCTCTAACTTTCGGTCAAAATGGGCGCATCTTCCGCCACCTCCATTAATTTATTAAAAATTTAATAGTGTCGGAATCAAATATTTTGTACGCCATTTTATTTCAAATATTTTTTCATTCTTCACTAAATAAACGAACAGCATTACTTAGCAAACCATTTAGTAACAGAAAAATGCGACAAGCAATTTTAGCTTAGACTCTTGAATTTCGTAGATCACTTAGGAGATTAATTGCGTGAAACATAAGTTAGACAAAAATTTCCTCGTTTAATAATTATAATAAGTTGAAAATATAATGCAACGATATCTTTAAGTTCTTCTGATATCATTCATTTTCTCATAATTGCATAATTCCAGATGTTGTAAACAGGTTAGATTATGTATAGATATTGTTCATTTTTCTTATTATCGAAGTCATGCATAAATAATCTAGTTGTTCCAAAAAAAAATTATTCCCAGTGTTTTCAAACAAAAAACCTCGTCCGCAAAGAGTTAACGTAATGAATAAAATAAACGCTAGCAGCGAGCATGTTGCTTGATCCCAATCGAAAGGTTAATTGTATGCTGCAATTATATAATACGGATTTTATGCATGTACAAGAGAAATGAATGAATCAACACCAGTAAAAAAATTCATTCAAAAACACCGTTGCACTATTTCCAGTTCATTAGAACTATCGAGATAAGAAATCAGTGTCTACGCAACTGCTGTTGAAAATGATGCAGGCAATATTTGTCTTGCAGAAAATCCGCGGATCGTGCGAAAAAATGACAAAAATCGGTACTCACCCTGCTCGCACTCGTCGATATCCTCGGAGCAGTCCACCCCCTTGTACCCTGTCGCGCAGGAGCAGGCGAACGATCCATTAATGGGGCTGGTGTCGCAAATCGCGCCCTCGTGACACGGGTTCGACGTGCAGGCGTCATCGAGATGGCAGAGCAGTCCTGGAAAACGCGACACAGAGGTTTCTCTTCAGGAATTGTTTCGAACGTCGTACGAACGAAAAATCCACGCAACGAGACGACTGTACCGAAGGAGATGGTTCGCCCGTCGCGGCGGATTGCGTGCGTTTCTAGGACGAAAGTGTCGATCGCCGACTGCCAAACATGGCGGCAACCGCCAAAGATGGACATCATTAAGACTCTCGTATAGCTCGGCTCGCGTAACCTAGCCAGAAACGTCGTCGTGCTCGAGAGAATCGTAGAAGAGCCGGTACACGGAGAACGGTGACAAATCCCAGCGTTCGTCGGTCCACGCTCGACATTCGCATTCAGTAAATTACTCGGAATACCGGCGGGCTTGCGCGGGCCGAGTCGGTCTAATTGCTCCCTGCAGCGAACTTCGCGAGGACATTCGCGGAATTTCGCGAGGAATTTCCTTGCCGCGGTACCAGCGCTTGTTCCGAAATCAATTTTTAGCTCGTCCCGTAGTAATTGCTTCGTCAGGGAATTTTGTGATACGACCGACCCGGTAGCTCGTTCCGTAGAACAATAAGATTTCATTTCATAATAGCGAGATTCTAGTGCCAGTCCTCGAAAAAACTTTCTAACGGGCGGAGATCAACAGCTGAGAATTTCTTAAAAGATCGCGGAGAAGCGACTGTAATTTAAATCATAATGTAACAAATTGTCCGCCAGGAAAGAACATTTTTTTGTCATTGAAAATTATCGAGGGTTTAGTTATACCAAAGACTGTTAACCCTAGAAAGATAACCATATGACAACGTACGTAAAAGATAACCATACGCTTCAGAGGCGCATGCTTTTCTAAGGCGTCAATTTTATACTAACAATGGATATTTATTTAAGTTAATCTAGTCATTTTAAAGGTTTGGCATTATTGTAAAAATAAAATGCATTTATATTATATTTTTTTATATTTTAAGTAATTTTAAACTTAAATCACTAGACCTCTATGAAAAATTAACAAAAATCAACAGTCTTCGCAGGCGCCTCTGCGACGTAGGTTATCTTTCTCGGGTTAAACCCTTCGCAGTCGAGGCTATTTGAGTTTAAACAAAGATATTTTTTACGGTCTACAGTATTTTATTTTTATTTTATAGGATTTTGTCGTTTTATGTATATGAAAATGAGCGTATTTTCTTATAAAACGCTTTTTAACAATTCATTAGATACGAACTTCAATCCTTTTAATAATTTCCCTGACTAGCGGGACAATTTTTGTTTCTTTTATGTCTCTACTTACTTTCATTCATATTTCGTGGATTATGCATTAAATGCTTATCATGAGTCGCATTTGTTGTTATAGATTAATAATGTGAATAATATGAATAATTCTTTCAAAAGAAATATTAAAGCAATTTGTGCGATTCGAGTGCAAATAATTAACCAGCTCCCAGTATATTATAATAAATTGTTAAGAGTTCTTGTTTAANTAACCATACGCTTCAGAGGCGCATGCTTTTCTAAGGCGTCAATTTTATACTAACAATGGATATTTATTTAAGTTAATCTAGTCATTTTAAAGGTTTGGCATTATTGTAAAAATAAAATGCATTTATATTATATTTTTTTATATTTTAAGTAATTTTAAACTTAAATCACTAGACCTCTATGAAAAATTAACAAAAATCAACAGTCTTCGCAGGCGCCTCTGCGACGTAGGTTATCTTTCTCGGGTTAAACCCTTCGCAGTCGAGGCTATTTGAGTTTAAACAAAGATATTTTTTACGGTCTACAGTATTTTATTTTTATTTTATAGGATTTTGTCGTTTTATGTATATGAAAATGAGCGTATTTTCTTATAAAACGCTTTTTAACAATTCATTAGATACGAACTTCAATCCTTTTAATAATTTCCCTGACTAGCGGGACAATTTTTGTTTCTTTTATGTCTCTACTTACTTTCATTCATATTTCGTGGATTATGCATTAAATGCTTATCATGAGTCGCATTTGTTGTTATAGATTAATAATGTGAATAATATGAATAATTCTTTCAAAAGAAATATTAAAGCAATTTGTGCGATTCGAGTGCAAATAATTAACCAGCTCCCAGTATATTATAATAAATTGTTAAGAGTTCTTGTTTAACATTCATTCGAATCCGTACGCATAACTCCGTGTTCCTTTTAAATCAGTTCATCTGTTACAATAGGGGACTATAATCTGCTCTTTAAATGCAAAAATGTAAATGTGAAGTACCATCTATATTTTATAAATTGCGTGTAGAAAGGAAGCTAAATTTGTGTAATTATGGAGGGATCGTTAAGAAGTTGTTCGTTCTTGGTCACTGACATTTGAACCGCGCGCCCGGTTCTCAATAACGGAACGATGTCTCGGATGTCCGTATATAAACTAGAGTAAACAAGCACGCAGATACGCGATTACACCCGCGACTAACTGTAACCGCGTACGTACGTACAAGAAACGGCCTCGAGATACCATCATTATGCCTACGTGCGTATTGTAAATCCGTTAACCTATGGCCATTGTTAGAAACGTTTTCGAGCTAGGGTATTGTACTACGCCGACACGATCGATACGACATTATACTTTCCCCATGAAAGCTGGGATCCTTGTCAGGACATGAGATATGAATGATTCATTGATGATTGATTGATATGAATGTATCGTTGTAAATCGCTTTTAAAAAAAATTTTAATAAAAGATGTTGAACTTTTTCTTTCGTTGAAGTTTTTCGTTAATGTTTATTATTCGAATGTGGAGTATACTTCTTTTAAATTATCATATTGTAATTAAAAATGTATGGTTCAGGAAATATTAGAAGTCTAATGTTTATTATTAATTTATAAACTAAACAACGTAATGGTGTAGTCAATAATACTTAATTAATGATACTATCATCAACTTTCTATAAATCTCTAAATATTAATAATAATATGTATCACTGTCTTCATTACACAATAAATTAATCGTAAAACAGTTTCACTAAAATGATGTTAAAATTAAACGTACGAATTTTATGCGTTTGTAATTAAAATGTGTAGATCGAATGTAGAACAGCGAAAACATCTCAACAATTCATAATATCGTATATAAAGAAATATTGCGCATAAAGAAATTGTAATAACATGGATTTAAATGGCGTGCGACTAGGAATCACTATGGATAGAGCAATAAATAAATAAATAAATAAATCAATCAATCAATCAATAAATAAATAAATAATAACATCAAATTTGTTCGAAAGAAAATCAGAGGTTGAATACAGAGATTGAATTCAATATATATTTCCTGAATGGCGTCGAGGGGTTAAAAGCGCCCGAGCACAGCATACCAGGCATCGAAGTCTCCGAAGGAATCCGCAAGCTGCCGCGGCGCGAATTCCTTCATTTAAAGATTTCCCGAGCTTGCGATCTGGAAAAAGTCGTTCCTGGCCGGGTCGGGGCACCGCAGGAATCGCAATAATGCCGGGACAGAAGAAGGATGCCTGTATTTGGCGATCGCTGTCGGAACGATCGATCTGAAAACCGTCTCCTTCGGCCTCGGGTAGGAAAGTAAGGACAGAAACTCGTTTTCAGTCCTCAAGGTCGCCGCTCGGTAAGGCTAGGCTGCTGCCGGAGCCTGCGGAATCCCGGGATTCCGAGGGAGGGCTGCGCGTCCGCGGCGAAGCTGCGTCATATTGTTGCACGTGCAGATGCACTTGCCTGTCGATGCACTCGCGATGCATAACACCGACACGGCCGCAGCCGCAACCTTGTTATCGAGCGTGGCTGGTTCCACGCTAATCGACGCGATTCGCTGAAACGCGCGCTCTCGCCTTGTCGTTCGGGGCCTTTTTAAGAACGCGCTGTGTCTCCCCGAGGCAACAAAAGAATCGCAACGAACCAGGGAATCGTGATATCGCGGCTCGTAAATGAGATCTTTCAGCCATTTTTGCTGGGCTCTCTGTGCACCAAGAAATTTATATCGTTAAGCCGCGTTTAACACGATCTCGCGATGTAACTAGATCGCGAATCTTTATTTACAATGTTGAGTTTTTAACGCTACCTACCGATGAATCATTGCTGTGCATTGTCTCATGTTTCTACTATAAGTAAACTACGGATTTTATGCGTTTATGCACAAAAGCGCATAAACGGAGTACAAAACAATAACTGCGGGAAATAACAGTAACTGCATAGAATTTTTATTTTGCGCAAAGGATCCGCAGTCAATTATAAAATATGCTCCAATAATGTAACTTATTGTAGCGTTTCATATGAAAATGTCTCCAGAGTTTGTAAGAAAAATAAGAAACAGGTTATTTCGACCGTCGTATGTACTTAAGTAGATTTTATTTAACATGTGTCATTTTATAACTGTTTTCTATGAGATTAAAATGCGTACTGTTTCTATTCGTACCAATCGACAATTAATATACTAAGTTATATCAACCGCGTTTAAACAATAAAAACAAAAACTGAACGACCCCGAAGACAAAATTGAAAATATCTCTGCACTATTACGTACATGATTAATATGTATCTTTACTACAAGAAATACTCGAACGAATTCTTGGTATATACAAACTTTCCCAAACGTAACTTCCACAAACCGAGACACGCGTAATGATCCACGATCGATGATCTCGCTTGAAAAAGAGAAGAATATAAAATTTGCATAACGGTACGCCATTAAAAATCTCCCGAAACCAGCGAACGAAAAACGGTATTGCGAAACGAACGATTTGCAAAAGGTACAATAACACCGAGTATCCCGTCGTTCCGATAATTACTATGTATTGACAATTACCAATTAATTTGGACTTCGGCGAAAAGGAGCAGAGTCAATTAGCAATTATCTCGGCGAAGAAATTAAAAATATAATTTACGAGCCCGTTCAAGGTGAGCAACGAGACGGAATCGTTCCGAAAAAGGCTCCGAATACGTTATCGATAAGTACGATATTGCTCGAGCACTCACCGGTCTTTCCGTAGGTGCATTGACAGTAAAAACTGCCGACTCTATCGATGCATGTAGCGCCGTTGAAACAGGCTGCACCGGCGCAATCGTCGATGTTCACGCTGCAGTCCGGCCCGGTCCAGCCGTTCACGCAGATGCAAGAGTAACTTCCGGGGGAATTCGTGCATGTGGCACCGTTGTGACAAACCGACGGTCGCATGGAACATTCGTCGACGTCCAGCTCGCACTGCGTGCCTGTGTACGACGGGGGACACAAACAGGAATACTCGTTCACCCTGTCCACGCAGGTCGCTCCGTTTTGGCAAAGGTTCCCTGGACAGTCGTCGATGTTCTCCTCGCACTGCTCGCCATCGAAACCTGAAACAATACAAGAACACGATCTTTTAAAATCGACCTATGGGATTGGAGTTGTGATGCTAACAATACACTTATATTCGATATAACAATTATAGATTATAATAAGGTTATAATATATAATTATAATTTTTTATAATAATTATATATTTATTATAATATATAATATTATAATAATAAGATTATATAATTATATATTTATTATAATATATAATATTATAATAATAAGATTATATAATAATTATATATTTATTATAATAATAAGATTATATAATAATTATATATAATCTTATATTCTCTTTAATTTACTAAAATTATTCAAAGGAGAAATAGATTTTTATTTGACTTATGATCACGAACAGTGAAGAAATCAGAACTTAACAATATATTGAAATTATTTAAAGAAAAATTATACTTCGATGTAGCTTGCGATTGCGAACAGTGAAGACATAAAAAATCAAATTGATGATGTTCTTACGGTCTCTTCAATTTATTGAAATTATTCAGAGAAATAGATTTTTATTTAACTTCCGTTCCTTACAATTCGTTAAGACAATTTTTATTTCGCACAGGGATCCGCAGTATAATTATTACGCTACGAAATTTCATGCAAGTTTAGATTTTTGCTATTTGTTTAAGCGAATTTAAAGAAGACGTTAATCATTGGATGATCAAATAACATTTCGATGCAGAGCCGCAAATTATTTCGTCCAAATTCTTAGCTTTTTATTAGCTATTTGATCAACGTTGATCGCAAACAAGTAGATTCGGAAATGTATATAACAATTAAACAGTAAGGATTTGAATGGATTTAACCACGATTGTTACAGAATCGGCAAAAGTCCGCTACAAGTGCTGCCAAAGTCAATTGCAAAAGTGTTGCTACAAAATCGTCTGCCTCTGTGTCATGAACACGTACATATTTTCGAAACAGGAAGAAATAAAAAGTTCATCGAACTTGAATGCAGTTTTGGATTATCAGGACTGAATACAGTTTTGGATTATTTTCCACCGACTAGATTGTTGTTCTAAGAAAAAGAGATCTATCGACCATCATTTTCCATAAGTATCACTACTTTCCAGATACAGTGTATTGCTAACAACAATGCGTCCGGATCATTTGCAAGAAACTGCGTCCATCGTGTTGGTCGTCTATGCTAAATAACGCGATCAATATGTAACAGGTGAAAATCAGTTTAACCCTTAAATGCATGATTTTTTGTCTTGAATTTTAAAAAATCGTTTTTTATAGGAATGTAGTCATAGGTTACGTAAAAAATAAATAAAAAAAGTCTAGGTAATAATATTGAGTATTTATTTTGAAAAAAAGTTGTACGTAGACTTTTGGCAACAATATGCGTTTATTACTAAAATTATTGTAGACGTAAACAAATGGTCATGTATTTATATTATCTATTAGTGTAGAAATTTTCACATTATTTATAAATGAAACGCAGCAAAGCAATTGCGATTTTTGTTGTGACACGAAGCAACCTTGCATTTGATGCACTCGGTCCGTGAAAGTCCTTTGCACAACCCGGAAGTTATCACCCACCACATTCAAATGTCAAAAAACATATAACTTACTCGCCAAAAGTAATGTCAAGTCTTTTATTTCACACATGGTCTATTGTCTATTGTTATCAACGTTCGTAAACGTTCGATATCAAAACTGTTGTCGGGTATCCGCGCAAAAAGTTATTGATTCATTTTTGGGACTCTATGCATTTAAGGGTTAAAATTCAATAAAGTGTCCTTCATCAAAGTTTATGGCCCCGACGTAAATTACTTTATGGTTCAGGATTCGTACCGGAGCATGGTATCGCTTTACGAGCGGGGCCGCGCGGCGTGATTTAGTTGTGATCTCCTATCAAAAGGGAAGAACTGAAAGACAAACAAAGAATCGCGAAGGCAGAAACACGAAGGCGATCCCGCGATCCCCCTACCATTTCGATTATATTGATGATCGTTACGGTCGTAAAGAGAACTCATTACCCCGGCACAATTCCTCCGTGTACGGTTTGTATGTTCTTCTGGAGGAAGAAAAAAAGGCGGATTGTTATATTAAAGTGAATCTACAGATAGACGAGGGTTTATTGTTCGTTGAATTTATGCCTGGGCGGGGAGAAAGAGAGAGAGAGAGAGAGAGAGAGAGAGAGAGAGAGAGGCGGGATATGGCAGACAGTCGAAAGAAAAACGAGCGAAGATAAAGCGATAGAGCTCGATAACCGTGAAATCGATGGCTCCGAGTGCCGATCGACTTCTGCAGCGACGATCGCGTTACGTTCGACAAACGGGAAGCAAACAAACGGGCAATATAACGAACACCGTGTCCAGCGGAACAAAATTCTAACTGTTCACAGCCTGGTAGATATTCGAGAAAAATAGCCGCCGGTGATGCAAGAACGAGATACCCTTTAATTAAAACGAAAACTGCATCATGGAACTTTGCAAAAACGACTGCATAGGAAAGAAGCAGGCTAGGCGATCGGGAAGATCGACGTAGCATGACGCCGGGTTATTTGCAAGTCGAGCGAATAATATGACTTCGGAGTTTTACTTCGAATATGCTCGGAAACAGACTTCGGAGAAAGGGCAAAAACCTGGAGCAGAAGAGCATCGACAGCGAAGACGTTTCGATGACCTTCTTACGATGTACATTTACATTGTAACGCGAAATGCATCGAAACGGGGATGCCGCGTATAACAAAAAAAAGGATTCGACGATTGTGGTCGTGCAATTCGAGTGTCGAATTCTTCCCTTTTTATTTGGCACCTGGAACCTCGCCAGAGATTCTTATCGGCTGACAAGAAAATACAATTTACAAAAATCTCATGTAAAATAATATTGGGCTGGTGCGAAAGCGATTTCGGCTTTTTTGTAAGCTATCTATTTGAAACTTGAAATACAGCACATATAAATGCATGTACCGGTATAAACCGGACGGTATATTACGTTAAGATAAAGCGAATAATTAAATGTTCAAATAACGCTTTTTAAGAAATGAGAAGATATATAATACGTTTTAATATTTGGGGGAGCAACGAATATTTCTTGAAACAAATTCTTTTAGAATATTTAGTTAAACCGTCCCTATAAGATAAATAAACCACTGAATTATTATACGCAGCGTTTATTTAACAATATCATAATTTTCGGTTTATAACTAGAATAACTGTTTCATGGTGTTATATTAATATTGGTATTATCATTATCACTATTTAACCCTTTGTTACGAAGATAAAGAAAATATAAATCCGTAGTTTACGGTTAACCAATAACATAAGAGAAGACGAAAGCAATATTACAGAAAAGTTAAGTCTGAGTTGTTCATTAAATAATATTTAGCTCTTGTAATAATGCTTCAGAACTATTTTATACAAATTAATGAAATATCTGTTTCTGTTATAACAAATTTCTATTTTCAAATTTCATTGATTCTATTCAGACAAAAGCTTTTAATCTTAAAAATTCTTCTGTAACTGTTCTTACTTATATCTGAACGATTCAGAAAAGTGCCACGTTTCGTACTTTTCATTCGAACTTTTGTTCCTGTTGCAGACAAATCTTCGTAAATCGAATGCAAAACAAGAAAACCGTTTCAGTGTTTCAGAGATATTGCTGTGTTACTTCCTGCTTCTCAACATGGCTAAGGAAAGAAATTACTTGACTTAGGACTTAATTTACTATGGCAAAAATGATTAGATTAAACGTAAAGCAGGAAAAACGTTCGATGCATTTCAAAGATATCGTAGTATGATTGCGGAAATAAGTTAATGAACTGAGAATTTGATATATTCTGATTGGACTGCGGATATTATGCGTTTATGATAATAATGGTTAATATGAGATACCAAACAATGAAGACATTCGGACTGATTAAGAATGTTCTTACATTCTCCTCAATTTATTGGCATTATCAAGAGAAGAAATACATTTTGAACATAAACAGTTCACGCGAACATGAATAGATCACGTGCACAATCATAAAAACATTCATGTAGTTTTATGAATATTGTTGTCCTACTTTCAACTCATTAAAATGATTATGAAAAGTAATGTCTGGTACGCAGATAATTTGTATTATTAATGAAATTAGAAAGGAAATGCGAAACAACCATAATCCAGGAATTATCGAGTATAAATGTCAATACAATAGTAATCAAATTGCCTAACATGAGACCAGCTTTCCGGCTTTTTGTGTACATTTCTGTACATATAAATTTCTCAATGCATAAATTAACATTTTTCTAATCCTAATAACATTTTTCTTATGTTTTTACCGTGTCCAATCTTGTAAAATACGAAGGAAACCATTCTCTAATCAATATTTTTGAAAAATCGCGTATGAAAATGGGAATTTACATTATTAACAATTATTTCAGTATTTAATAATTATTTCTGCTNAGGGATCGAAATAAGTGGTAATCCGATGGCGCGAGATCATGGCTATATGGTGGGTGTAACATCAATTCCCAACCAATATCCATCAATTTTTGCCGAGTGGACAAAGACGTGTGCGGCCTAGCATTGTCCTGCTGGAAAATGACACCTTTACGATTGACCAATTCTGGTCGCTTTTCCTCGACCGCTGCATTCAATTTGTCCAGTTGCTAACATTCACGGATAATAAAAAATAACATAATAATAATAGTAATAATAATTTTATAATATAACATTTACGGATATCATAAAAATGGGAGCGAGAGACATCTATAACTGAAATCGGCAATTACTTAGTTGCCAAACCAATAGTTTATGTAAAAGTTCCGGAACATTTTCGTACTCTGATATAAAGACTATCATCGCGTTACCTGTGTACCGTATCCGATTTTCAATAACGTATCACGATGAAGATCCGCGCTAACAATTTTTTCGCGTCTCGCTCATGTCCATACTTACGTTGCACGTCCTGCATAGCGTTCGATGCTCAAGCAAAACCGAACACGGAAATCCGGGTAATGTTTCGCGATTTCAACCCTCCCCGTCCACTTTCCTTCCG